CAATATTTTTTTATTTTATTTTCTATTTTTTATTTTTTATTTATTTTTAGTATTAAACTTTTTAATTACTAAGCTTTTATTATACTACGTCATGTCATTGATAATGCAGACCCAGGAGACAAAGTAATTTTCGAGCCGAGCACACACACGAACCACCTTGCTCGGTAAAACACACAGGCGCTCTCTCTCTCTCTCTTCGTGTGCGCCATGACCTCTAGCAACAAAAAATCCGGAAGACCACGATCGCTCGATGGCGATTGCCTATTATTCCTCAAAAAAGTTGTTTGTTTTCACCTCCTCTCCAGGAGAGACAATTCTGACTCTCGATCTCGTTCCTGAGAAGAGGTCACAATAGAGTCACCCAGGAGTTTACAAAACCAAGTGGGTAATTACATTTGTTTAATAAAGGGCTCCCGTGTTGCAAATAATCCTAGGTAATATCAATATTTTTTTATTCTCTTATTTACTTTTGTCCCATACTTTTATGATATACTGTCATTTTGGTTCTTATTTCAAATTTTCCCACTAAACATTTTATAGGTAGTTTCTTTTTCATTTAGACAAATGTAAAAGACAAAGTTTTTTACCCCACAACTCTCTACATAGGTATCTAGGGACTAAGAGAAGTAAAACGAGAGGTTTCAAACGTGGTCTAACTACGAAAATTGAAATCCTGGTCTCTCGCGCCCCCCCTGGCATGCCTCTGCGCCCACCAGAGGGGGCGCGCCCCCCACTTTGAGAACCACTGCTCTAGAGCAACATGTCCCGAAGCTGCAGCCTGCGAAACATACTGGCTCATGTAAAGGAAAAAGCAAGTGTTACTCTATATTCTTATAACTTTCATCAAATCCCATGATACACCAAAACTAACATTGTGTACGTCTGTCATTAATGTGGTCACAAATACAGACTTCCAGTAATATTCAAAACGGCTGGACAGTGCAGTTTGTCAGTAAATGATACTCAAAAAAACTTAAATAGTGCATGTGTTGGTTGGGACTATTTTCATTGGTGGATTAATACACATGTTGTTCTTTAGTGTATATTTAGAAAAGCAGTGTGTGTGGGATTGAATCAAATGTGCATTCTAATAACGGCACTAACAATGTTTCGCTCCTTAGATATTGTTCAAGGTCTGGAGACGGAAATATTGTTATTAATGTGATTGACAGCATGCAGGAACAATGGAGCTCTAGCACAGAGGAAAGATATAACAGGCTTTGGAAAAACACACAATACTTGTCAGTAAGACACATACATTTTTGGTTTGAGTCTTTTCATGGCACATTTTTGGAAAATAACCCCAATATCCCTTAAGCCCTTTACAGTTTACTCCATCAATGAAGTCAATTTTGTGGCCGCTTCTTTCCTTTGCAGACAGAGATTTGTTATTTTGGATTCAAAATAAATTAATGCACTGAACGTCTATTTTCAGCGATGTATACTGATTGTAGTATGAAGTCATTTTTTATATTTTTGAATCAGTAGGGGCTTCCTTACAGGGAATCACAGATGTCTAACATGTGGTACAGTTGCGATGTCATCTCTTACCACAGAGTGTCTTTAACCTGTTATTTAATTAAACTCCTGCACCGCTGCCATAAAAACATGCTTGCTGTTAAACCACAGCCATGCTCCAGTTACTACTAGCTACTGATCCTGGTTTCAACAAAATTAAGAGCGTGCTGCAGAATTAGTTGACCATATTTAAGTCATAAAACTCTGTTTAATACAAAATGAATTGCAGATGTTAGCAGTGATTTCATATGATTCAAAAATTAGACACATAAACAAGAATTAATTTGCAATCTTCTGTCACTCCACACTTTGGATG